AATAGTATTTCCATTCTTCCTGTTATTGTCCGCAAAGGGGGTTGGAGTGGTGAGGAAGAGGAAGACGACGAATGCGCGCCCGAAGCTTTGCCGAGTTTTGCCGAAGCGCACGCTGCATTGGCGAAAGTGAAGTCGTTCTTTTATGCGCTTAATATTAGTGAACGTGACGAAGAAAACATTTTGAACGTGGAAAGTGCTCTGTTTGGTCTAAAACGTAAAGTTTCAACAAACCAGTTGTCCATTAAAGACTTTTTTGGTAAAAAGAATTAACTTTGAAAGAGAAACATTGTTTTTTTTTAAATTTTAATGCTTTCCCGCATCTATCGTTTTCCCGCATTCATCGTTTTTATTTCCCACCCCCGCCGAAAACGATGCATCGAGGTTTCACTGTAATTTGTTCTCAAATGAACCTGAGGTTATTATGCATGGGTAAAAGTTTGTATGTATATTAGTGATAATAAAATGTGTAATGTCTGACTTTTTACTTTGTTGCACTGCTGCTGTGTTCCAAGGCTCAGTTTTTACTCTTGCTGAAATCATATGATTTTTTGTTTATATATATTAATTAGCCATGCACATTCAGATGTGTGCATGACTGAGACTTCTCTTGAATGTTAGGCAAGTGCCAATTTTGACTTTCAAATTGCATAACACTTCACATCTTTATGAGCCAAAATCTGTCAGTCCTTACCAGTGGTATGGAGGAAAATGTTGCCTTCATCTTAGAGTTTAAATGTTCAAATTTAAGTTAGTATTTGTAACTGTGTGTATTATTCATGTCAGATGGTCCACTGATGGGATTAGCTTTCTCTTATGGATCCATTTCTGTAGGTACCTTTCACATGAAGATGGGAGCAGATCAAGGTCCCGAAATATGGCATTCTGTTTGTAGAATGTGTAGCAATGGACAAAGTCCAAAACTTGTTAATCCTAGCTGGTTGTAACGAAACACCTCTATCTAGTTCTGAGGTTAAGAATGAGTAGGAGCTATACCTCCTCTCCCCTGTGTGCCTACATGATGCGTAATGGGATGGGCTACTTACTAGTTGGCTGTGTGAGGATGTTATCACAGAGGATTACTCCATGTGGTTCTGTGACTGACTGAGAATTCTTCAGGTAATCAGTGTAGTGTGAGGACACCTCATCCAATCATTTATATGTGCAAGAACACATTTATGTCTAATAAACATACTTTTTCGACTTTTATTTATAAATGTGCCAAAAAATACTAAAATGAACAGGTTTTTGGTAATGTTTATGCTGTGGTTTACAAGTATTGGTCATTGCCTGTAATTGTCATATTCAGCGTTAAATCAAGGAACACATGGACAGATATGTGACTGTTGATAAGGTTCCAAAGAAGAAAATCTGCTGTTTTAGAACCTTAAAAGTGCATGGAACAGAGGGTTAAGAAGAAATTTAAATATTCCACAAAATTATATGACTTATTTTGTCTGTTTTGGTTCAGTGGTATGGTGTAGCATACATTTCTGTGTTGAATTACATTTTAGATTTCACTGAAAAGTGTGATGTAAGAAATTAAATTTTAGTAAACAGTTGCACTAGCAATATTTTAATTTACATATTCAAAATCCTTCAAAATAACTGTACTGTGGAATTTATAATTCATCTTGCAAACTGTTTATTCTTCGTCTTTCATACTCCCAAATCTTCAACATATTGCAACAAAGTATTTAGTGCTTGAACACAAGTTCCTGAATTTATTCTATAGTGAAGGATATTCACAGATACATACTTAAAAAAGAACATATTTCATGATTTGTGTTGAAGTTTATTGTGTTTTAATACTTTTTCAAATGTTGTAGAACATCTAGCCTGTTGTAGATGTAGCCAGTAATTTATTTAAAGTAGCCTTAATTTGGCGGATCAGAAGAGATTTGAGGTAGATGTATGTCTTAAAACAGTATTCATCTTTTGGATGTAGTCACATTAATGTTAAAATTCAAATAAATGTTACTTTACGTTAAAATTGACACTCTCTAAAAGCAAAATATTAAAAACATTGTATATTTCTTCTTTTCCCTCTAAATTAATTTTTGTTTTCCTTTTGTCATTGTTTTTGTTTGGTGTTATCCATTTAACTTTTTAATTAAATTATGTGGCAACAAAGCAGAACAAGATTAATTTGTTATGTTATCAGATTTTGTCAGTTTTTTAAAACAATAATTTTCAGGTTTATTTTAGTACACATCTTTAATATACTTTTCATATCCTATTTACGTTTCTGGTATTTTTAACTAGTTTCTAGTTGTGTTCGATAACTGTAAAATATGGTATTAACTATTCAATACAACAATTGCATGCTCTAACACTACATAATTGTCTGTATAAGCTAGGATTATTTTCCTTCTTGCTAGTCATAGTGCCTATAACAGCACATTATTTGTATTTTCGTTTATCTTTTAATTTTTGGTTGGCGAACTACTGGATTGCTTCTGGTACTGATTGCTACAATCATAATGACTTGTAAGACTGTTTAACTGCTGGTTCCTTTCTGTGTTGTGTGCATTGAGCCCATGTATATTATCATACCATTGAGTGTGATATATGAAAACCTAAGTTCTGAATATCCTGAACTGAGAGGTTCATAAAAGTCATTAGACATCAAAAATGAGCTGCATAAATTTGGTTCTTCAAATTGTCAGCTTGACTTTTGGTTGCTGAAATCTTTAGTTCATTAAAGTCTATCACAGTGAATGGACTTTGAAGGTGTAATAAATTTATAGACTTCATCAGAGTTATGGAACTCAGAACCCAATTTGATCCCATTTTACAGGCGTGTGTTGCCTCTACTGAACCTACTGGTTTCATGCCCCTTCCACCAATACGAGCCACAGGCTTGCGTTGTTGCCTAATTACTGTGAGTTTCTCGGAAGGATTTAGAGCTCGATTGTTGCTGTGGCTATTTAGTGTGCATAGTCTCATTGTCTCTGATAGTGCATCAAGCTTTAGGACACGTGCCCTGAGTTTAAGATGATTTTTAGATGTTTGTAGTTGACGTGGCTTGAGCTTGGCTATATATGAAATTAAAACAACCGTTGAACATTTCAGCACAACTCTTCTTGCCTTCTGTTCAGTATATTTGTATCATTGCATGCACTATAAACACATCATGTATGTTTCTGTTATATTATTAAAATTACATAGTTGGAAATCCTAAGGATGTCATAAAATGTTCATGAAACTGTATTTGGAAACATCTAAACATCTAATATAGATTCATACATGACTAGGGACATAGTATTTACAACATTTACATTTATGGTGTGACTTAAAAATACTGTGTTAGAACAAAGCAGTAATTTGTACCAAGTACTTAAGTTTCATTTATGGTGGTAAAAGTGTGAATTTTCCACATGGTCCTTGTGTAAAACCACTAGGTGTAATATTGGTGAAGACAAATGATTAATTCTATTTTAAACTGAATTGAATTTGTTCGCATACATGTTTTACCAACATGTACAAAACTTGAAACAAAATTAGACGCAGATCTTTTGTTTTTTTTGAAAGGTTTTGATTATCCATGTTGACTGTGCAATAGTAGGGTGTGTTTAATTTTATAGTTTTGTGTTCTTATTTTTATTTAAGGAGGTTGAGATTAGTTATTGGCATGGTGATTATGAATTAAGAATTAATGAGAAGTTAGGAAGAAGTCCCAACCCATTGCCTAATTCTTTCAGAATATACTAAACTTAATTTTTTAGTAGCCAAACAAATCATTAGATGTTGATTGATATTGAGAGTTTTATTTATAATTTTAAGTGAAGTGAGTGTTGTAATGTGGCTTGTATAGTTGAACCCTTTAACATGATGGAATGTTTCATGAAATTTAGAAAATTCCATGCTGTCTTGTAAACTGTACTGAAAGATTATAAATTATTTTATAATTTTATTTCATGGTTATAGGATAATCTTTAGAATGATGTCATTATGGAACTGACCACATTTGTTGTGCAATTAGGCACCATTCCTGTGTTCTAGAATTATTCTGACACTGAAGAAATTAATACTATTCTATAACAGTCACTGATAACCTGTTTCATAATGAGTTTCCATTCTGCTTATCTTTTGGTAAGTCATATTTGATATTAAATATATAAAAATGTTAGTGATACAGGCTGCCACTAAGATTTTCGCACTAAGCATGGAGAGTACTTTCAGTATTTATCTTTAGTTAAACAACCTTCCTTAAGATTATTAGTTATATGTGTGGTTGCTGTCATGATTTTTATGTAATTCAAAAGAACAGAACTTTAAATTCTTAGATCTGAATCCTGATTCAAGGTTTTCTAATAATACTTCGCAGTACATTGTTACTTCATTGTGGCTGGAAGTTTTGAGTTTTGAATGTGAGATTTCTGGACAATAAACATGATCAGTTTAAAGAAGTTCTTGCTTCATTGTTAGAAATACAACACTCTGGTCAATAATCTCCTTCCTTGTGATAATTCAGTGCCTCATTTCTGCAGCTTGTGATTCCTTGTTTGTGTCTCAGAAATAAAGACTAAAAGTATTTCGCTTGCTATCATGCCGAGTTTATTGTGCATAGTCCTGTTATTATAAATGGTACTAAATAACCTCTACAGCTTGTACTAATAACCATCTAACCTACATTTCAATGATAATTCCTTTTGTTGGATAAATATTCTGTATTAAAGGAAGTGGTTTGCTTACTGGTTTGGCAGAAGATTTGATTTGTTCACCATTCAGCCACCTGACATTGCTTTTAGCCTGAGAGTATTTCATCAAGGAAAGAAACTTTTGGGCCTTATTTGTGTATGGCTTTTGTGTAAGCAATCCAGTACACTTTACCCCCTGTATGGGCATCTGCTTTTTCAAATCTTGCTTGTTTTTTACATACTGACACTATAATTTTTAAACTTGAAGGTAGGGATAATGTAAAATATCCTGCTTTTTAAAGTTTGATATAAAAAAACTTATACCAATGCTTCAAAAATTGCTTCGTACAAAATTTTCCATTTTTTATGTGCTGCCGCTAGGAACAGGTTCTTTGCCAATTTTATATATAACCTTTGTGAGTATGTGACAGCAGCTTCATTAAACCTTGATGGAATGTTCCTTTGTTCCTTCCTTTAGTCATAAATATCCTTTTCTGCTATCGGTGACACAGGTTCTTTAGGTACATGGAAATACACTTTATTCTTTAGTTGTATAATGATGCAAGTCCATTTATCAGCTGACACAGCAAGCTTTGAACCCAGATATCTCAAGTCTTCCTTTTTTAATTCCACTTCCAGTTTAGTGAAAAAATACAATTTTATTATCAGTTCTGTCATGTTACATTTGCTTTTCTGAATGCCTTGAGAATTGAAATACATGTCAGCAACGTTCAAACAGAATGTTAAAATGAGAATGATTGCACCATTAGTAAAACCATTAACCAATTTTTTTTTTGTTTTCTATTGAAAATATCTAATAAGTTGATACATGAGACAGCATGTTATGGTGTATTTTGTTGCCTTCCATCCTTCTATGCACAAATTGAATGGGTGTAAAAGTGGTATGACTGGAAAGGCACTATTATGTAGTTACAGATTATACTAATGTTACTTTTAATTTTTTAATATTGGTACAACTTATGCCAGAGATGGTTATTTTTCCAAATGTCAGTACTTTACATGAATATACCAAATATTATTAATCTGTTACTACTAGTCATGACTGAGTATAATTTTTCTCATATTACAGTAATTGAAGTCTCAACACATCTTATGAAAAATCAGATGTTGGTGTATAAGTACTGTGTTCCTGCCTGGTTTGTTTTCAGTGTTGAAGCATGCACGTTATCAACATTCGACTGATGCATGTTGGATTTTGTTTTAAATGATTTAAGTTCAGTGTTATCTTTATTTATTTTGTTTATGGTTTATTTAACAATGCTGTCAGTAGCAGAGTTACATGGTTGATAATTGTTACACATGTTTTATTGTCATTATTAATTAATGAGTTAAAACGTGTGGAAATAATTACATAAAAAAATCACAAGAAACAATGATATGCATAATATTTATAATTTTTGCAGATTGTTCCAGAAAATATCTGCAGAAATTTAGACTAAAAATAAGTCAGTTGTTTATGTTTTAGTTGTCTGACTTGTGTTATGTTTGTTCATTATAATGTATTGCTGTTTGAACTGCATTTATACTAAAGGGAATTAATGAAATGGATGTGGGGTGATAAATAATTCTGCCATGATGTTACATACATAAGCACACTATAGAATATCCCCTTTCACACTTTCCACACAACCAAGCTGCATGACTGTCATGTCAATAGCATCCTTGATTTTAGCATCTTGAAGTCTCAAAATTTCTTATTATTTTATAACCTCCTTTTCCCACTTAGTTTCAAATACTTCCCTGAGTGCTTCATTTACAGACACTTGTAATGTGTACATCTTTCATAGTAAAGTATCACATTCAACATGAATCATAGTGTTCTTGAAAGCTGAAGAAGTGTTATACAAGTATTTCACCTGAATAATAATAATAAACATTTCCAGAACTTATTCTTCTGTCAGTTACACGGACCTGTGGTTGTTATTGTATTCCCAAATATTTAATTTCTTAAACACTTTTGTGTGATTTATTACATCTAACTGTATTAATGACAGTTACATATCCTGGTTTTATGATTTGCTTCTATATTTACTTTTTAAAGTACTTCATTAGCTTCTGAACATTTTTTTGCTATACTTTATGTACTTGTTATATTCATTAATGTCTTCAGCATATAAAAGTACATAATTTAGGCCATTCATTTCCTAGCTTCCTGATTTGATTCTTTTGGACATTTCTGTTTGATTTTAGAGAAATTGTTATAATCAGTGGTTATTAAACATCCTTTTCTTTTAGTCCATTATGAATATGAAATACTTCAGGCAATTGTTTACCTGTAAGAACATGTATTACACATCTCATGCATACACATTTCAATTTCAGTTTTAATCTTACACAGTACTTCTTTCCTAATAATCATATTTCTTAGGCATTCAATTTAAATCTTATACAGTATTTCTTTCTGAACAGAATCATACTTATTGGAAATTCCAAATTCAGGTTAAATTTTTACAGTACTTAGCTCCTAACTGAATCATATGTTTATTTAAATCTATGTAAATGGCTGATGTACAAACCCATTATACTCCCATTTTGTCTTGTGTGGTTGTGTTAAATACAGATTACATTACCAATAGCTTACTAATTGCAATGAAATCCACAGTGATTACACAAATATTTTATTTCTTGAATGGTGTTAAATGTGCCAAAAATATTGGATAAAATAGTGTTTTAAATTATTTTATTTAATCTCTGCCATTTCAAATAGTACTTTTAGTTTTGTAATTTGACTAGTGTGAAAATGGATACCACATTTTTCTTTTGAGTGCATTATAATGAATGATGTGATGAAACATGTGTCTGTATTAGATGAATGGCCAGTTATTTGCTGTGTAAGAACCTGACATCCTAATTTTGCCAGTTTTGTCTGAGCTGATTTTGAAAATGAGAACATACAAGTAGCAGTTTGTATACAATGAGATTTATCAAGTCCTCACAGTTAAGACAAGAATAATAGAAGAAGAAACATATTGTGTTTAAGAACAAATTGTTAGATAAATTTGTCATATTTTTAGTCATATTTTGTGAAATGGACTTGGCCAGCAGATTTGATAGCACTGAAAGCTGTTAGTAGATTTTTCACATCAAAGTTTAGAAGTGCAGAATGATATTTTACTTGTGTATACATAAAATACTCAGTATTCTCCCTAATTCATGTATTGTAACTTTTGTTGATTCAGTGTGTGATAAAATTAATTCCATATGTTTCAGATATGTGACTTTGGTTTGGCCAGAGTTGCAGATCCTGATCATGATCACACAGGTTTTCTGACGGAGTATGTAGCCACAAGGTGGTATCGGGCTCCTGAAATTATGTTGAATTCCAAGGTAAGGAACTGTATTTTTTTAGTGCTTCCATTTTAATGCTGACATGAATTTAATTTTGGTTCTTATTTGTCCAGTATTTGTCTCAGTTTACAAGAAGTTCAACTATAAAATTCTTCTCAAAACTATTTATCATACAAAAAGTACATAACATAGAATATAGATATCTTTAAACTCTACAGCTTTTATATAAAACTTATTTCTGTGTTGTAAGTATTTAATGAACTAATATTTTCTTACTCTTCTGCAGCATGCACATCTGCTATGCCACACTGAGGCATGCAGAACCACAAAGAATGCTTTTGAAAGATTTGTCCTCCAAAATGGAGAAGACTACCCTTATTAATATGTGGAATTACAAGAAAAATCACATTTCTGTATATCCTGTACATATACTTCTATGATTATGTGTATTCTGACTTCTTACAAAGGAATATACTGTGTTTATGTTGAGATGCTCTTAACCCCAAGCATAAATATTGGGAACAGTGAAATGCACGCTCACCACAGGACCCAAGTTTCGCGGGTTCAAACCTGGCCGAGGTCGGTGGATTTTTAAGGGTGATAAAATTCCATAGCACAACTTCCTTTGGAGAGTATGTAAAGCTGGTGGTTCCATATTGTAGGTTTACGGCATGTAAAAGAACCGTACAAACACAAAGGAGATTTTTCATAAAACAAAATTCAGAGGCCATTTCTCACCCATGTCTATCCTGATTCTGTGCTAGATAATGCTAGCAGACAAAAATCAGGACTGAGTAGAAATTTTACAGAGGCAGTGGGCTGGTCACTTACTTTTCACAAATGCACGCTTCAAAGACCAAGAAACCTCCAAAAGAAAATGGTGAAGGCCCACACTGGGTTGTAGAACCAAGGAGGAAGAAGAAGAATTGAGATTGTTACTGAATTGGAATTATACGATGAAGATAGTGAATGTGATGAATAAGGTGGTTTGTTGTCCTAGTTTGGTTTTGTATTTATTGAAAATTTAAAGTGTGGAAATATTTTAATGTGCTAAAATCTTATGTTAAAGTCTTAAATAGTTTTACATAGTGTTTACCATATTAAATGGTGAAAGTGTCTTGTATCATAAAAATAACAAATGTGACTGCGACGTTATTGATCCTGTTTCTGTACAATATATAAAAGTATTACTTTGACAGAACTTGAAAAATCTCTGAAGATATAGTACCTTACTACCATACACATGTTAAAACCCCCTCTATTATGGTCATAGTGGTATTTCTGAAGATAGGAAATAAAGGAATACAGATGTTGAGTTTTCTCTGATGTTATGTTGTTCATACAGAGTTTCATCAGGATACATAAGCTATTTTTTAATTTACTGAGGAAGAACATTTGCATAGATATGGTAATACCATAAATGCGTCTTTCATGACAGCAGTGAATAATTGAACATTCATCAACAGGAATGTATATTCATAAGATTACCATAAAAAATAAGTTGGTTCATTATTTTATTATAATTCATGCAGACTTCCAGTAACTTTCTCACTCTTTTTCTTTGTCACCTGAAATTAACTTTTATTTATTTTCAGGGCTACACAAAATCGATAGATATCTGGTCAGTGGGCTGTATCCTGGCAGAAATGTTGTCAAATCGACCGATATTTCCCGGCAAACATTATTTAGATCAGCTTAATCACATTCTGGGAGTTCTTGGCTCTCCCACTGCAGAAGATCTGGAATGTATTATCAATGAGAAAGCACGAAGTTACCTCCAGTCATTGCCATTTAAACCCAAAGTTCCTTGGATAAAAATGTTTCCACATGCTGACTCAAAAGCACTTGATTTGTTGGACAAAATGTTGACATTCAATCCTCATAACAGGATTGGAGTAGAGGATGCATTAGCACATCCATATCTTGAACAGTATTATGATCCTGCAGATGAGGTATATATACATAATTATTCAATGATGTTTGAATTTATTTGTTAAGACAAATTGATAAATACAGGTGTTTCAATGTCTTGATTGGTGAATGTAATGGTTAGTTACTAATGCAAAATAACAGTCATTAAATAATACTAACTCCAAAATTGACTATTGGACTGAGTCCAGGGCCACAACCTTTTATTCTAAGATCCACTTTAATACATCTTTCTGTCACGTCTTTCCATTCCAGGTGGCCATTATACAATAAATTTTGCTCCTAATTTTCAGTGTGCATGTATTGTTTCCAACTTCTGAGTTAAATTCTCAGCCTAGTGCAAGTGCATTTAATTATTCTAACTGTACTATTATAGTTAGATGAGTCATGAAGTATTACATTATGAATTATCCTCTCTTTCCTAACTTAATTGTTCTCTTTAAAGTACAAATGTTTGTTATTTTCTTACAGTAAGAGACCATGTTTCATAACAGTACAGAAAAACAAGAAAATTTGTTTGTTAGTGTAAAATTGAATAACAGTGTCTCTGACAGCTGAGGGTAGTGTCAGTGACAATAGCTTTTTGTAACATGTAATGAACCTCTGGGTTCCATAAAAGTATGTTCATTGGAACTGAATAAGTAATATACTAAATGTTTTATGTGTAACTGATTAACTAATTGATTATTTTCATGGAGTCCTTGAGGAGCTAGTAGTCACTCAGCTAATCAAGAAATTCCTCACCTTTTATGGAACCCAAATATTCATTAAAAAGAACCTGCCATATGAATTCATCCTATTTCTTTAAGATTCGTTTTAATCTTATCCTTCCTTCTGTATGCATTCTAACCACTCATATGCCTCGCATATTTCATCTGAAAACTTTTACATCACTTGCAACAATTTTTGCATATAGACCTATGTCTTCACAAAATTTTGATTCAACATGTCATATAATTATAAACAGACACTTGAAATGTAATTTGCTCATACATCATGGCATGGACCATTTGTTATTATAAGTCATGTCATACATTCAGGATTATAACTTTATTTATTTTATTTTTTATTGGAATCAAACAGTATTGTAAACAAAACTAAATCTAAAGAGATGAATGTTGTGTGAAGGTAAAGAGTGAGGAAGTAAGATGAAAAGGCCATAAAAGGATGAAGTGAAAGAGAAAGGTGGTTCAGAAGGAAGTAGCATAAAAAACGAAAGATAAGTTCTGTGATTGGGAAGAATTGAACAGAAATCCTGGCCAACATCATGACTCACCATTTCAGATTATCAGAGAAACCATCAAAATAATAAAACACTTCCAGAACTGCAACTGTGAAGGCAGACATAGACTTAACAAAGCTTGGGTTCACCTTTCTTCTTTTACTTCTTTCTGTACCCTAGTTCCTTCTAAAACACCTTCCTCTGTCACCTCTATCATACTTCTCACTTTTTCCCTGAACCATGTGGTTTCTTCCCATTGGTTAGCACTCAGTCACATCTCTCACCTCCCACTAATTTTCTACTGCAAGATATTTATGCAAAGGCTCCCTTTCCCTCCTACAGACCTCACCCTGAAGATGGTAACTGCAGTGTTAGCTGAAAATTTTTTACACTTTCAACACTCAACATGGCTTATCCCTGGAACCTGAACTTATACATTAAAGTCTTGCTATGGAATTCTAAGGACACATGCGGTATTACACATTACACTGGTAAACAAATCCGTATAAATGTAATGTTGTTGAATACTAGGCACAAGTTAACAGAAACAATACCAATTTCATCTCTTAAGTATGTATAGGTGTTTGTGAACATTTCATACTCATGCAGTTTGAATATTTTCAAATTATGATAAGATTGCTATATTCAGTTAGAATGTATAATCCAATAAATCCTGATTCTTTCCAGCCTGTAGCTGAAGAACCGTTCCGATTTGCCATGGAGCTAGATGACTTGCCAAAAGAAACGTTAAAAAAATATATCTTTGAAGAGACGGCACTGTTCAAACAGAAGATAGCCCAAGACCAACAGAACATGTAGTGTACTGGTAAGTTGCCTGCCATCAAAGAATAAGAATTTCAGATCTGTGTATATTTAGTTCTACTTTTTTGAACTTCATAACATGCATTGTATGTAAACAGAGTTAAAATCCCATGGTATGGGGCTTCAGCTAAATTTTAACTCCGGGCAAGGAGTCTCAGTTGCAGTGTGCTTCTGTGATACAGACAGTCGACAAAGCATACATAACCTGTGACAGCCAATAACGGTTAAGCAGTGTGATGTGCTATATATACTTTATTGTTTTGTTTAGGAATTTTTATTCATTATTTTGTAGTATATTTAAAGACTTTACAGTATCTTAGATTGTGTAGTATTGATTATGAAACTATAGAATTATGTAAGAGGGGTGTGAAAGGAAGCAGTCATAGTATGTTTTAAAACTCAAATTCTATATTTGCAAGGAAGGATATGAAAACTGTCAGCTAAAAGAATGTTTACATGACATGATTTTAATAAGCACTTCCTGAATATGAAGTAGGAGTGCTGTACTTACATTTTATAGCAAGTTACAAGGACATTAAACATGATACATGTATAATGAATTATGTGACAGAATAAACACAATAGATAAGTTGTACTTGTTGTGACTTATCATAAATCAAATGCATTTTATGTTGTCATCTGAGGACCTGAAAATCTAACAATACTTTGTCTGAAGAACATGGTGGTGGCTGCATGAAATCTATATTTAGCTTTCAGTTTTATGCTGATAAATAATGACATATTAGTGCTAGGATTGTAAAATTCTGAAAGGGCATAGATTATAAATGTACATTCAGCGTCTGCATGAAACAATTTTTGCTTGTTAATGTACACAGACAGTGTGATTGTAAAATACTATATTCTGTTGTAAATTTAACAAGGTTGAAATCTATGTTAGTAAAAATTATTAACAGAAACAGGTGACTAGATTGAGTAATTATTAGTTTATAGTTCTTACTAGCTTTACTGTATAAATTAATCTTTTGAAGGAAATTATCTTTATTTTTTGTGTATTGTGGTGTTCCATTATTTATTATTTGCGTGCACTAATTTCAACAACACATGTTACAAATACTGTGTTTCAGCTGTCGCTTATTTACCGTCAAGCAAAAATGTGTTGTTGGTGATTAATTTAAACAAAATATTACATGAAGGGTACTAGGTGTTATAAGTCCCTTCCAGAAGTCATTTTTATTCTGTATCAAATTTCCACTTGTAGAACAGGGGTAGCTCAGTCAGTATAGTGACTGAGTATGGACTGAATGACCAGGGTTCAATCCCCAGCAGGGGAAGAGGACTTTTTCTCTAGGTTCTGCTTCCAGACCAGCTCTGGGGCCTACCCAGCCTCCTATCTAATGAGTACCGAGGTCCTTCCCTGGGGGTAAAGCTTGGCTGGGGTGTGATGCTGAGCACTTACCCCTTATCTAGTGCTGAGGTTAAGAATGGAGTAGGAGCTATACCTTCTCTCTCCCCAAGCACCTCCATGGTATATAACTTTTCTACTTTACAAATTTCCACTTATATCCTCTTTATAGTTTCTTGTCTTCAATTTGCGTGCATAAATACATTCCTTCTTCTCTCTCTCTCTTTTTTATGAGGTCATCTATTGATACTGCAAGGAAAATGTGACTAAACACGCGGTGTGGGTACTTCGATTTTTGTGACATCAGCTGTTGGTGTGTTAATATATTGACTCTGATACAGGTTTTATAAGATGTGTTGACCACTTTTTGAAGAGTAAAATTGTACAACAAGATGCCTATTGTATTTATGTAATAATAGTAATCATGTCCTGCCTTCACTGCCCTCTTTCTTTTCATCGTTGTTTATCTTGACTTACTGTGTTCATTTATTGCCAGATAGCTGAAGAATGCCACAACTTGACCATCACATCTCGTCTCTATAACTCACGAACCTCTGCTCCTCTTTCTTGTCATGTCATGCTGAGATGGAGGAAGAGACTTGGATGCCACATATCCTTTTTGTGTTTTGGACAAATTTCAGCATTATATTCGATACTGACTGTCTTAATAATTAATGTGTTTTTGGTCTATCATATATTTTGTCTGTGATTCAGTACTGTACCACCTAGATTCCATCTCCAGTTTTCTTCTTTTTTATGCACTTAATACATAGCATCCTTCATAAACTAATTAAGTCTATTTATTGTTTTGTCTCACTTGAGTCTCACAAAACTTTTCCCTCTCAAAAGGCAGGAGAATGAATTCATCATGATTTTCATTTCATCTAAAGATACGTTTAAATCTGGTTACAATATTTATACTTGCATTCATTAATGGGCAAATTCTCAAATGTAATATAATATAGGCTAATACTATTGGCAGTGATTATATTATCTGATGAACAGAATAAATTTTTGGTATTTTCTGCATGCTAATACATCTAAGCTTTTAGAAATTTCTAATCATGGTTAGGTTGTTTAAAAAATTAGGTAAAAACAATTTGTCAAAATGAATAAAATATTTATTCTGCAGAAACTGCTAGTATAATGAATGTGAAGTACAGACAGGATTTCTGAAATATATTGACTTCCTAATATATAAACAGTTTCAGTGTTCGAACTGTGAAATTTCTAACAATAAATTATGATTCAGTTATGTAAAACCTGGTTCTTTGTTCTTGAGAGGAACAAATTGGAAGTGCAAGTTAAAGCTGAGTATGTATTGACATTTAATAGTAACAGCCTATAAATAATTTACTAACATGCATCCAGGTTACAGTTTTGATGAGGGCTGCATTGACAGTTTGATGATAGGAGATTAATTTCTTGGTGAAGATAAACTGAATGTTAGTGATTTCTTCATTGTGTTGTAACAGGTTTCATTAAGTTGTTGCCAAGTTTTTAGGGGATATATTCAGCATTTGAGAGTCTTCCATTTAGAGTGAAATGGCATTCTGAAACAATGAACATTTATGTACAAGATACATTCATTTTGATTTACAAGAAACTAGTTATCATTCAGTCATCATGATCATGGATGCTTCAGCAAGTCCACATTGAGAATTTAAATACTAAATAATCACAAATTCTATGTATTAAACCTTAAATATATTATTGAAATATATTACATTACCTTGCACATTTATTCATTCATGTACTTATTCTTACTTTGAAGGTGATTGGATATAACTTTCATTTTCAGTAACAAAAATGTGATTTTTATTTTAGTTTTCACATAGTGCTCTGTCTCATTTTAAGCCACTGATGTATTATTAGTTTGGTTTATTTGTTTGTTTCAATTTTCAAAATAATTTTTAAGTTCATTCTGATTTTTTTATCACTATTAGTATTAGTCCCAGTTAGGGTCAGGCTTATTAGTGAAATATAGTTTGTTGAGAATAAATTACGTTTCAGAATTTGTATAAATCACACAAAATATGAGATACACCTTTACTTTATAATTTTAATAGCAGTATAGTCACTTCTTTTTTCTCATTCATTCTGATAAGTTTAAAGTTAGTATATTTTGTACTGGTGCATTATAAACTAAAAATATTGCTGATTTAGCTCAATAATATTATAGTTGAATATTTTATATTGTGTGGTGTCCCTGTTGTTAATACTGTCATGAATTCCATCAACATATGGTCAGATAACTTTCTAAAAAATATTGTAGCTTGTTTTCTTCTGTAGGACATACAACATAGCACATTCATTAGCATTTGCTTGTTTCTTTTTTATGAATATCAAACATTTTTTCAGTTATAATTGTAGTGAAGTCCTTGTTAGGCTACAGTATTTTGTGTGTCTTCTTTCAAAGTGATTTCACAGTTTTTGCTCTGGCCTACTAAATGCGTTTTCAAGTGATGATAATTACAGCATATGATATTTCCGGCTTCATTATTCAGAACAAGAGTCAATAAGAATGAACTAATTGGCTTCACAGGACAGAGCAGTTAACAGAATAAGCTTCTTAATAAAAGATTACTGTTATAAAGAGCTACCAAATAAAGAGTAAGTTTCAAGGTAGGCTTTCTTTGAAATTTTTAAGAAATCTTAAATACTGAGGGAAATTTAGTTTTCAATCCTCTCTCTTTTATTCTTGTTTTAGTGCAATGTGTTTGATGTCATAATCATTTTCTTCTACTTTAAGAAGAAAATAAGTGGATTGGTAACTGGTTTCTTGGAAGTTTTACATTGTTTCCAAGGTAGTTTGTTTTTATATTGTTAATATACCTTTTCTAAAGCATAACCTGATATTTCTGAAGTTGGACAAATGTTATTATACCACATGGGCAACTTCTGAAGTCTCCTGCTCACTACCAAAACTCCATGTGTAAAGACTGGCAGAATATTTGTAGCAAACCAACTGTAAGGGGATTGTAGTATGTAAACTACAACTGAAATGTTGAAACTGTTCTAGTCATTACTCTTGAGCATTCTTCAACAGAGTACAATATTTTATTGCATATAAATTTCTTTACCATTATGTTGTGTTGTTGTGACCAGTTTGTTATAAAATGAAGTTTGGCTACACTTAATGTGCTATTCAGTTTGACACCTTGGGACTTTCTTCCAAAACTTTTCATTGTTTGCATGCTGTTATACCATACTGGAGTACTGAACATTATGGTCAAGTGGTTAGCACTCTTGCTTCATCTTAGGGAAGCCCTGGGTTCAAATATGGCCAAGTGATGGGATATCCTGACTGAGGTTTTTCATGGTTTTTGTCTACCCATTCATCCATGTACCACATAGTACTTGTATCATTCAACAATGAGCTAAGGGCAGCATTGTCAGATAAGTGAATAAGTTGGAATGAGATTAACTAGGATTTGGGGGTGTTGGCTCATGGTACCATGGCTTATTTGTAATATGGCTGAAGTCATATACAGTTATTACTGAAAGAAGGTATGATTAAGTTAAAAAGAAAAAATTGTGTTCTTTTTCATAACCAGATATTGAATTAATTTGTAACAGAATTTCATGATACATAATTTTGTTTAATCAACGTTTTTACTTTGACCAGATTACAGAAATGCAAATGAATATTCCTGCCTGTGGTTCAACAATAATAAATTAAATTGCATTCATATTTTGAATAATTCTAGCTGGTTGCAGAAATTGTCTAATAGATGGAACTGGTCTACAGATATGAAAATAAATGTACACTAGCAGTCATATAATTTCATAGTTGTTTAATGTTTCCATAATAATGCAGTATTAATGATGCTAGCATGCCATTTTAACTTTCCAGTTACTCATCATCTGCTGGTATAGAAGAAATGTTTAATGCTGTTGTTCTGCCAGTATCCCTGTGTGGAACATCCTCCAGTAAATTATCCTTTTACCATCTCCTGTCTTGATAATTTATATACATATTTTTTTACATATCTGATTTTTTCTTTAATTCATACAAATTCTCTGCATTTAGAAAACTCTACATGCAGACTAAATTTACCACATTGCAATAATGCTGTTGATTACATGTTTTTTGTCTTGAATTTCTACTTATATGTATGACCAGAGGTTTATCATCTTGTGAAAATGAAATGTTAGTCATTTAAGTAAACATTACTATTAAATTAATGTTATGTTAGTTTCCTAAAATATGAATTGAGGTGCTCATTGTGAGGCTGCATTAAAGGAAGTAACTGAATTACAAATTTGTGTGTGTAACAGTTTTTATATCTGAATAATGACCAATGGTCTGAAACTACACATGAAATATGTGGTTTGAAACTACTCGGCACAAAGCGAATTTATAAGTGTAACACAGTGACATATTTTATTATATTTTCATCACCTCAAATTTGAAAATGTTCTTGTGAAAAATACAGTATGCATTGATGGCTGACTTGTTGGTTTGCTGAATACAAGGCATAATGTACTGACATTTTCCAAAATGAACCATATGTAGAGTGCAAAATACAGAGTGTCCCACCCAGACATTTATGGCAAAATGCTGGATCAACATACAGGTAGTCACACAGAAAGAAAGTACAGGCTATGACGTGCTGAGTGTAGATCTTAGTTTAAAATTAGTCAGTAGAAGCAGAGGGGAAGTAAAGCTGGCCGTCTCATGATGTTGATTTATGGCTTGTAAAAGAACCTTATGAGCATGATACGAGATGTTTTGTAAGCAAAATTCAGCGGCCATTTCTCACCCAAGTGTCCTGATTAACTGCTAGATGGCCTGGCAGACAAATCAGGATTGAGTAGAAATTGTGCAGAGTCAGTGGGCTGGTCACTCACTAATCATAAATGCACACTTCAAGACCAAGAAACCTCCGAAAAAGGAGGCGGTGAAAACCCACAACCGGGTTGTAGCACCAAGAAACAACAACAACAACAGTAGAATCTTCGTATTAACTGTGCTTCTATTGAAAGTGGCGTTCTTCATTATTTGTCTTTCACAATGACATGAATTCTGTGATAATCGTTTTAGTTCTTAGTTCATTTTCCAGAATAACATTGTGAATATCACTTTCATACCTTAATAGTTCCATGAATTATGTCTTTAAATTTTGTGATTCAAAGTTACTTATAGATAAAAAATCAACATACTATACCTGCAGAACATAACACACTCAGTTGTATGCTTATTGAACATTTACTTTTGAGTCTGCATTTAATTTTCTGTAGGGATGTTGGTGTATTGTCCTGATGAACATATATATAACTATTATTTTTGAAGAAGGGCTCCAAAATATATAACATCATACTAATTTCAATGTGTGTGACTTCTGTCTTATGTTTGCTGCTGCCAAAAAGTGACAAGATTAAAACATATATAATTACAGTTTTGTCTGTTCTTGGGTATAGGTGTGAAAGTTGGTCTGTCATTTTAATGGAAGAACACAGACACCTCTCTCCCTCTCTCTCTCCCCCCCTTTTTTTATGTGTGGTGTGTAGGAGAATATTTGTATGTAAGAGGGATGAAATGGCAGGAGACTGATGAAAAGTACACAAGGAGAAGATTCGTAATTTGTACTCTTCACCAAATACTATTAGGGTGATCAAATGAAGGAGGAAGAGATGGGTGGGGCATGCATGGTGGAGATGAGAAATGCCTCCAAAATTTTGGCTGGAAAGCTTGAATAGAAGAGACTACTTACTAGGAGGCTAATACTAAGTGGATGTTAGGGAGATTGGGTTTGGGGATGCAGATTGGATTAATCTGGCTTGAGATAGGGACTAGTGGCAGGCTCTTGTGATCATGGTAATGAGCCTTCAGGTTTCATAAATCACAGGGAATTCTTGTCTAGCTGAGTGTACTATTAGATTCTCAAGAAATACTTTACTCCATGGAGTTAATTATGATTTTTATCTTTATTGAAATTTCAGTTAGAAAGTTTATAGGATTAAGTGATTAAGTTAAGTTCTCATGGTCATAGATATTAAGATGGCTATCTAGATATCAGAGTGCATGGTGGTGCATCCAACAAGACTGTCACCTTTATACCAACAATTCAATTCCTTTGCATACTTGAGAGATCATTATCTAAACTTAATGAGAGCCACAGAATTAGTTTCACTGTTGGTTAGAGGTCATTTTGAACAATTTCTAACAATAAGTGTAATGCTTTTACTGGCATAATTTTTAAGGTGTTTAGATCTACCCTCAGCTTATGAAATTGGCTGAATTTTCCTGCATGCCAGCCATCATATGTGTGCTGTGTTTAGTGTATGTATAAAAACTGAAAATAACATTTTGTCTGAACTTTCTCATGTAACATGTAATGAGTCTGGTATCCATAATAGTGATATTTGTACATTGTTGCTCAGTATGAGAAGCTTTGCAGACTGTCGTGTTGTAAAGTACAAGTCATTGACCCCAAAAACAGTCTAGCAAAGAAGAGTCAGTATTCCAAATATATATGTTTATGGGTGCATTGCAGGGTGTTGGAGGGAGGGTTTAAGTATCAAAAACCCATCGAAAATTATGGTGACAGTGTAAACTATTTTTATCCATATTAATTAAAGGGATTGGCTTGATGGACAAAAACAAAGTTTATGTAAATGGGATGTCTATTTGGACATTTGTAATATTGAAATTCAGCTTTTACTGCTTATCAGTTGTCTGTACCACCACTCCAGCGCTACAAAAATAATTTTTATGTACATTAACATAGCTGTCTTCTGGGATGTTGAATTATGTATAGTCTGGCAGATATTAGCCAACTTTGTAGAGGAGTTTACTGCCTCCTGATGCTTCTCTGAAACATTGGTCAATATCTATCAGACTACATGGTGCAACATCCCAGAAGACAGATGTCTAAATATTTGTTGCCATAAGAACAAAAAATCTCACCTAGTGAACATATATGCATATTGTTTTACTGCTATACTACTGGTGGTGTAATATGACTTTGAAGACATGGTTCATTGCCACTGTATCTGGACTCGGTATTCTGCTCACTTGATTAACAAAAATAAAATTTAGCTCTGTCTCATTTATTTCAATATCCTATTGCTGATGCAGTGGTACTGATTTTTGTTATAATTTCTATCTTTTCCTAGCTGTTATTTCTCATCTCACCAAAGAGTGTTTGCATTTTATGTCCAGTTTCAATGTTAATTTTTAGATCTTTCAATGTTGTTATGCAGTGTACAGTATTTCTGCCCTCTCTCTGCATGTCTCTTGAATTAAAATAAAACAATGCAACTATTTGTAAAGGACAAATAATTTGAAGCAATTTTATGCATAGAACTTGAAGGTTATGTATGTGAATAAAATGAGAAGCTGGCCTTGCCTATGTAGTAGCAACTTACATAATGGTTAATTCTGCACATCAGAATTAAATAAATACATACAGATAGGAGTACATTTCTTCTCTGAATGTTTCTGGCAATGGTAATGTGATGCTAATTTATTTATTCTGGACTTTGTCTATCATCTGTTGAGAATCTGTAAATTCCTTCAAAAATTAGTGTTTTGAAGACTGGTCCACATGTCCATTGAAACATTGTGATTTTTAAGGCATTTTAAAAACTCTCAACAGACAATGGATAAAATTAAAAATAAATTGTTAGGAGCACAATGTTTTATCACTTCCCTATGTGTGGTGGTCATATATGTAGACATTTGTGTAATACCTGACCTATCACATTTATTAGTAGATATGGAAAGAATTTTCCATATTTTTGTATAAATTCAAAGACAATTTTATGCATTGCATTTGAATATTGAATGATAGACATTAAACTTCTTATGACTGAAATTTGCAATGGTGTTATATGAAATCTTGCATAGATACTTATATTTGTATGTTTTTAGCAAAATGAGGCACTTAAAATGGTGTTGCATTGCTTTTGTCAGTGATATACTTAAAATCTTGAATACTACATAACAAATCTCATAAATCGATTTATATACGTTAAGAATATCTATTCTTTATTTTGGAACACTTCCAGCTTATTTCATACAATGGTGGCTGTCTTCTGGGTCTTAGTGCTGTGTAGTGTAGTGGAAGTTTAACATTGTTTCAGAAGTCCTTGCTGCCTCCATCATTAGGACTCATTGCCCTGATGATGGAGGCAGCAAGGACCTCTGAAACATTGGTAAACTTATACCAGACTACACAGTGCTACAACCCAAAATTCAGCCATCTTCGGACTCACCGCCTGAAAACTTCAAATCTTATTTCATACAGTGTTTAGAATTGGAATACTACACTAGTCTGTGTGGTATGGTTTCATTGCTTGATTCATATTAGCCTTCTTTATAGCACATGAATTTCAGCATATGGAGCAACTCTACAATGCATACATAAATTCTTAGGTCATGTATTGCATTGTGTGGTAATGAAGGGGTGTACATGGGAAACTATACAATATAAAATCACGTGGCCTAAATACTTTGAATTTTCTTCTGACTTGATGTTACTGTTACATACGTTTTAGTCATTGTAGCCTGTTGTGCCACAATAGTTCTTAAATGAGATCTAGATGTCCATTTTGTGTTTTCATTTGAAGCGTTGGAAATTTGTTGCAGCATGTCTGGCTGTGTACAAGAAATGAGAAAGATTCATATAAGATGAAACTTATTTTAAAATAATTTTTAAATACATAACCTATAATTGTAATGTCCCTCCCATACCTTTGAAGAAAGGAAATTATCGTAAATTTAGTCATTTCCTATTTAGTATACTTGTGATTAGAATGTTAATAATAAAATAGTTCTGTGTTTATGCAAATGTATCATATATTCGTTAAATATTTAAGTGACATCATTTAGTTCTTATAGCAGACTTTAAAATCCATAATTCCTTGAAATGTTAGTTTATCTTCAGCTGTATTAATAACAAAACATTTTCAAAGTAGCCGCCACACTGGTGGAAGGAATTGAATAATAATACTTGTAGTTTAATAAATATGCTGAAGGAATCCATTTAGTTTTACTTATCATATTGTACATTATCTACACAGCAAGATATTTTATACTTAGGTACAAGCAATATTGCCATTGATTAATGAAAAGTAGACTTTAATAATGCCTTAACAACATACAGTTATTCAGTTCAGTGGATCTCCAAGTGGTGAATTAGACAGTTATAATATCCATGCACTAAGTAATTGTAAAGACAACACAAATTGAATGTTTACTGCATTTGTGGAATATTGTACCTGAGCATGTTCTTTTTTCTT